TGGGCGCAGGACGAGCCAGATGACCTCCTGATTCCACGACTTCCTGGCATGAGAAAACTGATCTGCCCTGTGCGCGCCCAGTCAGCCCTGTTCTCACCAACTGGAGGCTTCGGTGCACGGAGCAGGCATTCAGGACATAGTTGTGGCGTGAGTGAATGGACCCAATTGGGACCCCAACACCCTGGTAAGCCACTGAGCCTGCTGCCAAGTTCAGCCAAGGGCAGGCAGGCGCATGGAGGGAGAAGTAGAGGAGGCTGGGGCCTCTCCATTCAGGGAAGAGGTCAGAGGGCGTTTTCTGTGCTCTTCTCAGGCCAGGACAGAGGGCCCTTGCTGGGGAAAACAGTTCACCCTGCTTCGGCTGGGAGTGTCTCTTCTCTACCCTCCACCTCCCTGCCCCCTCCTGATTGACACCAGGGCTGGCTCTGACGTGATTTAAAAATAGATATTAAGACAAGGACGCTTAATTTTTAATGCTGCGGAAAGGAAGTGAACAAAGCTGGCATTCCCTCGTGGCCACATTCGGGGGGTCTCAGGACACCTGCGAGGCGTTCATCTGCCCCCAAGCAGCATCATGCCTGATCACCCCCACACACACCCCCCCAGAGATACTTGTAGCAGCCCTCTGGGAAGACAGCCGGAAGCCTGCACACCTGAGCACTCTGGGAAGGCCCTAAATGCCTCTGACTGCCTGTCTTTCCTCCGCTTGGAGAAGCTAGGTTTGAAGCCCAGCTTCGTGCTGGGAATCTCGAGCCCACTCACCGCTTCCATTCCTGGACCGAAGGCACCCCACAAACTCCTATGACACACCAGGCCACCCAACACTGACGGGAAACAGAGCCAAGCCCGGAGCCCACAGAGGCGCCGTGACGTGACAAGGCCAGCGCCGAGCCTGTGTCACCAACGCAGCTGGAGAGCCCTGACCATGCCACCTGTCCCCAGAGGCAGCGAGCAGTCTTCGAGGGCCCTGACCCCACTTAAGGGAGCTTAATGAGGGCCCCATCGGCACCCTGCCGCGGCCGCCCCGCACCAACCCTTCCCCTGCTCCGGCAGGCTCGCCGAACACTGCCTCCTCGGCTAATTAGCCTTCATTAAGGGAGCAATCCACAAGGAATATGCCTTCTGATGGGCCAGAATGCCACTGCTCTGCCAGCCATAATGTAGAGTGATTGGACAGGCCTGCTGGCAAGCATGAAAAATGACCATTATCCCGAGTGGCAATTATGCCAGCACTCCCGGCCTCACCTCCACCCCTCCATGCTGGACGGCAACTGGACTGGGGATGGGAGGCGCTGGGCTGGGATCAGGACTTGCTGCCCCGAGAAGAGGGACACACGTCCCCAGCACTCAGAGGTCCCTTTTCCAGCCCACCCTCTACTCTCTGCTCACAGTAAATCTCTGACCCTCTCTGCCCTGTCAGAGGGGGCTTAGATTCGTTTAATCTCTGCTTGGAGTGTTCCACCAGATGGCCCTTGGAGGGCCCAGAGACGGGGCCGACGGAAGGAGAGGCCCCAGATGGTCTTTACTGCTGAGAGACATACCTTGGGGTGGGTGTGCTCACTGGTGGACAGGACCCTCGGTTCGGGAAAACTCTGTACCTTCCAGGCCTCCTATTTCCTATCCACCAAGAAGCCCGCACGCTCCTGGGGCCTAGGAACCAGGACGGGGGATGCAGGGGACAAAGAGGAGGGGGTACTCAGAAAAAGCCTCTCCCCTCACCATCTATATCAGGCCCCTGGCAATGCCGCCCTCCTGGGAGCCCCGGACTCCCACAGTGCACCGGGGTGCCAACGTGGCTAGCAGCGTCTGAGGAGCAGTGCCAGGGCAGACCTGGACCGCCCCCCAGCAGGCAGGGGCCCAGCAGCCTGCAAGGCACCTGCGCTTTGCTAGGAGGGAGGAGGAGTGCGGACGCAGGGCTCCGCCTCCCGCCCTGCCCCCAGTGACGTCCCCAGCACCCCCCACGCGAGGACTCCAGAAGCTCCACCCAGTGGCGAAGAACCAGGGACTCGCAGGCCCGCCTGAGAGGGGGCCGCAGCGTCTCCTCCTCCCCGGGAATCCCCCCCGCGGGCTCAGAGGAGGCAGAGGGGGTGGCGGCAGCGGCGGGTGGCGAGAAGCCCCGGGCAGGCTCCGGCGTCTACGGCAAGTGCCGTCTGGCAAGTGCCGTCCGGCGATCGCAGGCCTCAGGTTCAACCGTGATGCTTCAGAAACGCCTCCTGTGGGGATCTGAGCCGTGGAGCTCGCACCTGCTATGGCTACGCAGCTCGCAACCATTGCTCCCAGTCCCAGAGGGCTGGGCTGACGTGCCCCGACCTCCTGCACGGAGCGGGCGCGAAGGCCTTAGCCTAGGGACCCTGCCTCAAAGCCCACCTGCCTCGGAGGCTTTCTCTTCTCATCCAGCTCCCCTCTGATCCTTGCTCTGTGTCACACCAAGCCCCTGCCTGCAGAAAGTCTTCATCTGAGGGGAGCACAGTGTCCCGCCCTCCCCGAACCCTGGCTGACACGCCGCCACACTGCTTCTCCCCCTCCCAAAACACGCAGCAGCACACACTCGCACACGCACGAGCACCCGTTTCCCTTCCACTAAATCCCCTGTCTTCCCTAAGGTCGATGTCTTGTTCATCGTCTCTGAAGCCAGTGGCAGAAGAGAACTGGGTCTCTGAGACTCAGTGTTTCCCAGCTTACAGCATGTTGTGGGAATTCTGAAAACATGAAGGAATCGGGAAAGTCAGGGACCGGGAGAGAGTGACTCCTCGCCTGGCGGGAGTGTAGTCAGTACCTTCCAATTAGGAAGAGACGGAGAGTTCTCTCACGATAGACCCTAACGGGAAAACATCTCGTGAACTAGCTCGTTAAGCTCTGCCAAGCTTTTAAGGGAAGATGGGAAGTCACCTGTCACCCCACTGGGAGAGCCTTTATCAGAGGCAAGCTTGACAGCTAACTTCTCTCCCCCAGCAAGTGGGACGCGGGAGCCCCTGCCACATAATAACATGTGGTGGGCTTACAATCACTCACAGACGTAAGAGTGCCTACTATGGGTAGGGCACAGACCACTATGCCAGCCCGTGCGGCGGGGGGGGTGCCCATCCCCAAGCCCCGCAGGCCGTTATACCGACTCTGGCCAGCAGGTGGCGGGGTGGGGGCGGGGAGGAGCGAGCGCAGCTGAGGGGGGCTGGCCGGCCAACGCACTGAGCATCTCCCAGGGTCTTTCGAATAAGCCTTCCCATACGCAGGGGGTGGAGGCGGGCGGAGGGAGGCGGGCAAAACAGAAGGATGGGCTGACACTTCAAAAGAGGGCAGGGAAGAAAGCCGCAAACAACGAAAAGGACGGCATTCGTGGGACCCCAGAGGCACCCAGGAAATACACACCAGTACTTGGCCGACACACGCTGGCCCAGGAGTCAAAGGACCAGGCGGCACCTGCCCACGAGGCAGCCACAGAGCCATGCTTCACGTTCCAGTGGTTCTCGCCACCGGAAGAAGCAGACTACCTGCCCAGCCTCCAAACCCCTACCCGCATGACAGGTACCCTCCTGATAGGATGGCTGGAGGGTGGGGCCGTGGTGACATCTGGGGAACTCCAGCTCAAGTGATCTCAGACCAGTCTCCTTGGAAGAGAAGCCACGGCCCACACCCCAGGTGGGGAAGGGGGCTTCCCTCCCCAGAGAGAAGACGAGGATGCGCTCGGCTGCCTGCTCCCCCCACCCCCAGGATGTCACATCACTCATGAGGCGAGGACAGCGAGGGAGACCACCGCACAGCACAGCCCTTCAGGCAGAAGGTGAGGTGCCCAAGGTCACGCAAGAGGCGAATGCAGACCCGAGACTGGAACCTAGTCCTCGTCCCTTCCAGCCCTGGGAAAAGTCGCCCCCTACACACACACATATGCGCACACGTGTGCGCACACAGCCCCCAAAAAGTTTGTCAGTCAACTCCACACAAAAGCTGAACACCAAAGCACAACTACTTCTTCCAGATTTCACTCTGGATGACTTTCTCCTGCCCCCAGAGCTTCTCCCGGACCCCGGGCAGCTGACAGCCTCCAGCGGGCAGGACAGCCCCTGGGGCAGAGCCAAACATCTGTGCCGTGTCCAGCTCTGGTGAAGAAAGGCAGGGGGAGCAGTTAGGATGAAGCAATGATAAGAGACGAATTTAAGTTTTCAAATTTGCCTAATTAGTATTTCTTCCGCACATGCGTGTGCGTGTGCATACGGCGTCTGGAATCACACAGAGAGCACAGAACAGTTCCGAGCTGCCCTACCCGCCGATATCTTCTCTAGAAAATAATCTCCCACCAAGGACAGGGGCACCCCCCCAGCTTGTCTCCCTTTGTCCCTTCCAGTCACTGGGGCTCCGGGAGCCTGGGAGCACGTGGCCAGCCAGCTCCCTGCCCAGTCCACTGCAATCCCTCAAAAGCAGCAGCCAGCGCCCGGTGGCAGCTCGGCCCGCGCCCCTCCTCTCCCCACAGGCCTCAACTCGGCGCAGATCGGAGGGCTGGCCAGCGAGCCCATGGGCCTGGAGCAGGGGTCCCCCTCCCGTTCCTGGGTGGCCGGAAGAAGTGGAAAGATGGGGCCTCTGCGCCCGGCCCCTCTCCGTTCCCCTCCCATGAAATGCTGCAGATCGTATCGGGTGCATTCAGGAGAGCCGCGAGAGGAAACTCTGAGAACCAGCCTCGGCGGTACCTCGCCAGCTCAGGCTCACGGCTGCAAAAATTCTGCCCCACGCCACTGCCGCAGGGCGCCTGGCGAGGGCACCTCCGGCATGGGTTTTCTTGGAGAGGAAGGAAACTTTGCAGGCTCCCAGGAGCAGGGCACGTCCCTCCCGGGGGAAGGCAAGTTGGAGTCCCCAGTCAGCCACCAGGGAGAGGGCGAAGGCGAGAAAGAGGCACGGAGGAGGGCGGGGGTTTAAGCGCACTTACCGTCGTGCGGAGAGCGGAGCAGTGCAGCGCGAGGCGGGAGGGGATCGCGCCACGGCAGGCAGAGGGGGAGACGGACGGAGGGACTTACCCAGAATATCAGGTTGAAGAGGAACATCATGTACTTCAAGCAGCAGAGGCAGCCCCTGGCCATGTTGCACTTCTTGAATTCTAGGAGGAACACAAAGGACAGGTCCAGGTAAAACACCACATACTTGCTGCCCCTGGGCGCGTGGTGCGCGTCGGCCTCGGCGCCGGCCTCGGCGCGGCTCTGGCCG